AAATTGTGGATGTTTATCATCGCAGATGTTTTTGTGGCATTACACACGGATGGAAAACCGTGGAAAGTTGTTCGACTACAAACATAAACGTTTTTTGTTAAAAAAAAAAGCAGCTTAATATTCAAGTTTTTTAATCGACAGGAAAAGATCTGTAATGACAAATGTTCAAAGGTAACTGGCGTCAACCGTCGGACCATTTAGCCCGTAACACTGACCGGAAGTTCATAAAGGCGCGGGGTACACAATGACTCTTAGCTAAGTGTGTGCGGGAGGCCGGCAGTGTTTCTCTGTGTGGGCGGAATATTTGCTTCCAAAATGTCTTCTGTTCAGCATATGAGAGACTTTATCTGCCAGCGTCTAACTGCGGCTGCTGAAGAAATATTCTCAGAGTTTGAAAAAACCGTCGTCCATTACGAGAAAGAGATCGATCGTCAGCGCCGGCTGTTGGAAATCACATTGAGCCCCCGAGTGCAGCTGCACAGAATAGGTATGAAACACAACTTAAAACTAAATTCACTTTATTTTTGATGGGGCGACTGGTTTTATTTTCCCCTTCCTTCCAATCCCCCATTCCTTCCTCCCCATATGTGTCCTTGATGTGTGATATCACTTTATCTGGGCTTAAGTGTACTGAAGTGTTTTTTTCAACTTTGTTACGTCCCCTGTAGGGGTTGTGGCACACAGTCTTCCTGAACCCTGTGTCTATGTGTCTGTTTGTGTGATCTTGGACGGGCTGTACTGAAATTAAATTTCTCCGCTGTGAGATCAATAAAGTATCTTATCTTTTCACACAAAAATATAAAGAATAAAACTTGTGGAGTAACAGACTATGACATCACTATGGACAGAAATCTCACTTTTGGTGATCATGTTCCCTTTTTTTTCGTCTAATATGTCTTTCTCCATCACTTTGTAGTCATTCCACGGCAACTGGTCGTTGAGGAAGATGCATTTACTGACCAGAAGTGCTGTAGTAAAGAGAAAGACTCCAGTCTGAACCAGAAATCACTAAGAATTTTGGGCACAGATGAAAATGTACTGCGAAGCTTTATTTAATGTAAAACACGTGGAAAGGGTTTCATTTGGAAAAGTAGGCTCATAATCCATATGTTTATCCAGACTGGTGAGAAACCCTTATCTTGTAGAATATGTGGGGAAAGTTCAAGTCATCTAATCCCACATACTTTACTGGTAAACAACTTCTCACCAGTGGGGATCCTCCATTGGATTCCTATAAGATAATAAAAAATAACTGCTTGTGTTCTTCTGTCTCTGCAGTCATTCTGGAGCAACAGGTCTGTAAGAAGAAGGAAGTATTTGCTTACCAGAAACTCTGTAATGAAGAGAGAGATTCCAGTCTGAACCAGGAGGTACCAGAAACCCCTCAGATTAAAGAGGAACATGAGGAACTCTGCACCAATCAAGGAGGAGCTCAGATTAAAGAGGAACATGAGGAACTCTGCACCAATCAAGGAGGAGCTCAGATTAAAGAGGAACTTAATGAACTTGGCGCCAATCAAGAAGGAGCTCAAATTAAAGTGGAGACAGCGATTAATGCTTTTACGTTGAGCCCTGCTCACCAAGAATGGGGCTTTGGCAAAGTAGACACAGACCCTGACCAGCCAAACTCTCAGACCTGCCCCTCAACTGAGAGGCAAAATCAGGAAGGGATGGATCCCAAAATCATAGGATCCAGCAAAGTTACAGAGATGAAGGCAAAGAATGGATCCAATGGAGACATGGGTCACAGCAACGATGATAATTCTGTCATTTCAGAATACAAGTCTAATGTTGAGTCAGATGAACAGTCTGTGAAATCTGTTGGTAAACAGTCTTTGAGGTATGAGTGTGATGAAAAGACAACTGGCACAACCCCCCAAAATTCTAAAAGACAAACCTGCACAACATGTGGGAAAAGGGTCAGACATTCTTCTTTTGTTAAACACATGAGAATACACACAGGTGAGCAACCTTTTTCTTGTGAAGTATGTAGTAAATTATTCTATCAAAGATCAGATCTTGTGAACCACATGAGAAGTCATACTGGGGAAAAACCTTTTTTATGTCCAACATGTGGGAAAAGTTTTTCTCAAAAAGGAAATCTTAGTGTCCATAAACGAACCCACTTAGAAGTGAAACCTTTTGTGTGCACTACATGTGGGAAAGGTTTTTCTCAAAAAGGTTCTCTTA